CAAAGGGACAGTTTCTGTACAGTGATGAGGGAGTGACTTAGTGGCCTGGTCTCCCGTCGCATATCTGTGTATCTGGAGAGGGGAGCCTGAACACCTTCATTGTGATGGTTTAGATCAGTTTTATGTCTTGTAACCCCCAAGTTTTCTTTCACTTATTCATTTTACTTTCGTATTGGTTGGTAAAATTGTCTTTTTTTTTTTTTTAACTAGAGACTAAAATTCTCTGTCTCTCTCTCTCTCTTTTTCTACTTGTCAAATGGTAATACTTGACAACCCCCAGGTCCTGGCTATCGGGACATGTTTCTTTACTGCTCTGATACTATATATAGATTTAGTGTCCTTGATATCCCCGTTGCCAGGATTTCAAATCTTTGTCTTCAGAGGTGTTTATTCTCCTCTTGTGTACCAGTTCCATAGAGGATGTATAGATATGAAAATGTGTGGAGGATATAGATTGATCAGTAAGGAGAGAATTCTTTCAATTTATACGTTTCTATGTAATTTGATTTTTTTCCCCAACTAACATCTATTTAAGATTGAAAAGGGAATGTGGAGAAATAAGTTGTATTAAGATAGTAGAAATAGGCCGGGCGGTGGCTCACGCCTGTAATCCTAGCACTTTGGGAGGCCGAGGAGGGCAGATCATGAGGTCAGGAGATCGAGACCAGTCTGGCTAACACGGTGAAACCCCATCTCTACTAAAAATACAAAAATTAGCCGGGCGTGGTGGCGGGCGCCTTTAGTCCCAGCTACTCAGGAGGCTGAGGCAGGAGAATGGCATGAACCTGGGAGGCGGAGCTTGCAGTGAGCCGAGATGGCACCACTGCACTCCAGCCTGGGGGACAGAGTGAGACTCCGTCTCAAAAAAAAAATAGTAGAAATAAGGTGAGTTTCTCTTATTTAAATGGCCTTTTACATTACAAAACTTTAAAAATTTTCTCGTATAGTCCTTAGAGGGACTTTCCTTAAAGTTCACATTTGCCTTTCAGTAAATTATTCCTATCCAAATTTAACTATCTTTGGTCATCAGATTCAGAGATTATGAAGTCTCTGGCATTTTTATCTCACTTGTATGCAGATTGTCAACTTCGTAAAAAGCTCTGTGCCCATACCCACTTGTTGCTCTGGACTTTTCTATATCAGCAGCTTATAATTTGTTGATTTTTTTTTAGTTAAATTTCTAAGGTAGCAGTGTGGAATCCTGAGATGAGCGTAGGCTTTGGCGTCAGGCAACCCAAAGTGAGAATCCTGGCTCCAGCATATATTAGCTGAGTCTTTGGACAAGTTTCCTAACCTGTCTCAGGCGTCTTTCTCTGTATATTGGAGATGATCATAGTCAGCTGATAGAGTTGTGAAAATTAAGCTTAGATAAGACTGTAGATGTGAAGCATCTGGCTCTGTGCTTCAGACACAGCAGGCACTAGATAACTGTTAGCTTCCAGCTTCCTCCCTGTCCTCCTTGTTTAACTTAGCATAAAGCTTATTTACACATTTGTTGCCTGCCAGTGTCTACCTAATACATAATTCCAGTAGAGAGGTGAATATGTAAAGTTATTTGGGCTAATATCCTGCCACCACCTCTCTTGGGGTTCTTTGGCTGCTCTTTTGCCTATGGAATTAAATTTGTACTAGTCATCTCTCTATCTGGTCCCATTTACCTGTCCTTTTTGTTTTCACGCTGCATCCCTGGTATGACCTCTGCTGTAATTCAGGGGTTCTCACATTTTAACATAGTATCTGCAGAATATTAGTTATCCACTGCTGCCTAACAAATTCCTCCAGAACTTAGCAACTTAAAGCCAAATCTTTTGAATTCCTATAATAGTCTATCTGTTTCCTGCTTTTTGGCTCTAATTCACTTTGTTTCATTTCTACTGTACTGTTAGTAGGGACTTAAAAATCATTGCCTTCATTTGACCTGCTCCCCTGTCATCAGAACTGTGACAGCTCTGTAACAAGCATTGTGCTGCTGAGGATTTAAAAGCTGTGTGGTCATTAGAATGCTGAGGCTGGCTCAAACCACAATTGTTGGTTGGTAGTGCTTTCATGCAGGCGTTTATCAAACAAATGCATTTCAGTTGTGTGCCAGGCTTAGTTTCAGGTATACCAGTAGTGAAAGGAGACAGGCATGCTCCTTGTGGGTGACACAGGGATAATAAACAGGTGCACAGAAATGTGTCTTCATAACTTGAAAGACATCCCAGGAAAGAAGTGGACAGATGGCTATTATGCAAAAACAAGGAGACCTACTTAGATATGTTTTCAGAGAATCTGCCTGAGACTTAAAGGATGAAAAGGGAGAAGACATTTAAAGGAATTTAGTGTCTTCTGTGGCCAGGGGCGGTGGCTCACACCTGTAATCCCAGCACTTTGGAGGCCAAGGTGGACAGATCACCTGAGGTCAGGAGTTCGAAACCAGCCTGGCCAACATGATGAAACCCTATCTCTGTTAAAAATACAAAAATTAGCCAGATGTAGTGGGACCTATAATCCCAGCTACTCAGGAGGCTGAGACGGAAGAATCCCTTGAACCTGGGAGGCAGAGGTTGCAGCGAGCCGATATTGCACCACTGCATTCCAGCATAGGCATCAGAGTAAGACTCCATCTCAAAAATAAACAAACAGACAAACTTAGTATGTTCTAGTAACTAAAAGGAGTTGGGGTGACTAGAACATACCTTTGAGGGGTATGCAGAAGCTGCAGGATGCAGGGATGCCATGGCCGTGCTCAGAATTTCATTCTCAGTGCAGTATCCTGAGCTATATTAATATGGCATCCAAAGTGGAGATCATTGTCTTTTTTTTTTTTTTTTTTTTTTTTTGATATGGAATCTTGCTCTGTCACCCAGGCTGGAGTGCAGTGGCGCAATCTCAGCTCACTGCAACCTCTAGGAGGTGTTCTAAGTTAGCAGTTGGGAAGTAATTGGGAGATTGGAATTCTAGCTACCAATTCAACTATAATGGGTTGGAAAACAAGATTTCTGTGTTAGTTTAACAGAGGAGAGCTAAAAAAGAACTCAGGCCTGAATGGTTGTCAGGAATTTGGGTGACTGTCTTCTCATCTCAGAACATAAAATGTAGGAATTACCGCAGTAGCAAAGGGAGATATTTATGTTGGAGATAAAAATGCTCCTCCCTTCAAAAATGAGACAGTATTTTAGATAGGAAAGGTTATTTATCTGATTACCTGTTTTTAAATTCTGAGCTTAAGGTTATATGTCAAATCCTGTCCGTGGGCTGGGCACGGTGGCCCACACCTGTGATCCTAGCACTTTGGAAGGCTGAGGGGGAGGATTGATTGAGCCCAGGAGGTCAAGGCTACAGTGAACTGTGATCACACCACTACACTCCAACCTGGGCAACAGGGCGAGAGACCCTGTCTCAAAAAATAAAAATAAATTAAAAAAAAATCTGGTCCATGTCCATCTCCTCTTAGCTGCTAATTCAATTTTAGATTAGACACAGTGGACAAGGAAAAGTACGGTGAGAGTCCTGTGATTTCTCACTAGCTTCCTTTCCACATAGGCCACTGCTCCTCCTCTTCCAAGGTTTTTCCCAGCTCTTGCCTCCTGAAGATTGTAGTATCCTGGGTGTTAGGAGACCGGATTCCAGACACATTCCCCACAGAAGGTTAGCAGGACCTTAGAAGATCTTTTTCTTTTCCTGATTTCCTCTTGTTTGCAAGAGGGTTGAATAGGATGGTCTCTAAAATCCTGTTGTTTTTTGGGGTTGTATTAACCCAGGCCATAATGATAAGAACCTGCTCTGAATTCACAACATGTATTTATATAACAGCAATTTAATATTTCTCCTTATTCTGTGGAATGACTAGGAAGCTCTGCTGGTCTTGGTTGGACGGTTTTTGTTTGTTTTTTTTTGAGACAGGGTCTCGCTTTGTCGCCCAGGCTAGAATGCAGTGGTGCCATCAGCTCACTGCAACCTCCACTTCCCAGGCTCAAGTGATTCTCTTGCCTCAGCCTCCCGAGTAGCTGGGTCTACAGACACATGCTACTGCGCCCAGCTCATTTCTATATTTTTAGTAGAGACGGGGTTTCACCATGTTGCCCCGGCTGGTCTCCAACACCTGAGCTCAAGTGATCCACCCACCTTGGTCTTCCAAAGTGCTGGGATTACAGGCGTGAGCCACCACGCTCAGCTGGTTTTTCTTAAGGTCTTACCTGGGTTCACCTGTGTGGCTGAATTCAGCTGGTGGGTTGGCAGGGGCTGGATGCAGTTACAACAGAGGGTCTGTCTCTTTAAATAACTACCCTTCATCCCCAAAGAGGCCAGACCAGCTCCTTCACAGTGCTCCAAGAGAGCAAGCCATGATGCCCAAGCATTTTATCCAGCCTCTGCTTGCTTCAGTTTGCTAAGGTCCCACTGGCCAAAGCAGGTTACATGGCCAGGTCTCATGTCAGTATGAAAGGGGCACTCCACAAAACGTGAACCTGTAAGGCATGACTCATGAGGGTCACTAATGTAATAGTCACCACAACCTCCATGCTAAATTACCTATATTCTCCAGTGAGGATTTCCCAAGGTGGTTTTGTTCATAGTCTTCTAATAGAATTATTTGGAATTAATCAGTTTAATATGCTCATGATGTATTTCACTGGAACCATACAGGTTTTGATTCAGAGTTGGGAGCCCTGGGTAGATACTGAATCAGACTAAGTTTAATCACAGAAATTATTCCTACCTAAGTCTGATCTTATGTTTTCAAGATAGCATTGTAAAATTCAGAGTGTGTTACCATCCCCCTTTGAGACCTCTGCTGTTTTTAATAAATGGAAACATTTGGGAATACTATTTGGTAATAGTTTATTAAAACTATTTCAGAGATATTCTGGACTTTCATATTAGTTTTAGATATGGAATAATAAACATTAGCAATGAATCTTATCTAAGAGAAAAATTTAAATTTATATTACAACAGTGGAATATAATGTTTAATAACTTGTGTTGGGGGGATTATGTGTTTTGTTTGTTTTTTTTTTTAGCTCTTCAGAGAAGTAAGAATAATGAAGATTTTAAATCATCCCAATATAGGTACTTTCTGCTTTTATAAATACTTTTGGGTCTAAATACATTCTTGAAATTATGTCATAAAGCTAAACACGTATTCTAGAAATGGTAGAGTACACTTCTAGTAAAATATATATACAAGTTGTTGATCATTTGTTTTAGCTTTTTGAAATTACTGAAGACAGGTTAAAAGCTTAGGTATTAAACGTTGAATTTAAAGCTTTAATGTAGTAGAAATGTCTGTAATCTGATTGTAATTTTCTAATTTTTAAGTATATTGAAAATATAATTGTATTACATGAGTAGATAGAAGGGAATTATAGGAAGTCAGAATTAATATTTTCAAAGGATCTGGGCACAGTGGCTCATGTCTGTAATCCCAGCACTTCGGGAAGCCAAGGCAGGAGGATTGCTCGAGGTCAGGAACTCAAGACCAGCCTAAGCAACAGAGCGAGACCCAGTCGCTACAGAAGAAAAAAAAAAGTAATAATAATAATAAACTTTAAAATTTGTAAAAAGAATATTTCAAAGGTCCAATACTTTTTGCTGTTTGTCCTAAGAAAATACTTATATACGAAGTCATATTTAAAAGATGGAATACTTGCTATCTAATGGAATTCTGATAGGAATTATTTTATAAATCAAAGATTTGTTTTCTGTGTCCTCTCTGTGCACAACTCTGTGCCAGGTGCTGGTAGGTGTGTTTAAAGATGAGGAAGGGACATGGTCCTACCCTTACAGTAATTGTAGGAACAAGAAGAGAATAAGCAAATGACTTACTGCTGACCCTGCTCTGTATACATCCCGATGAAAACTCTTGATCCCATATACCTTGTAATAGGGCTTTAAAAAAATTACATAACTGCTTTTTTGTATAGTGATAGCTCATACAATCTAAAAATAATATTTCAAGAATGAAATCACTCTTGAGACAGCCCATAATCAGTTTACTGTCAACATCAGTTTTAGGAAACGAAAGGGTTGATGTTTAGTATCAAGGATAGCCTATCAAGAATGCATCAGGCACAGGAATAGAAGAGTAACACAGAACCACCACAGAAAGAAAGAAGCTTTTACAGAGAACTGCTTTTTTAACAAAAGGCGTATGCCCTAGTTCATCAGATCTAAGCCACCATTACTTTAAAGGTGCCCTTGTTTCCTTGTTTCATATACTGCTAAGAGAAATGCTAGCAAGCCTTCGTCCTGGTATCAGGGATATTAATTAAAATGTGAAAAAAAACTTAGAATCAGTAAGTATGATTGAAGAAAAAAACCACTGAACAACTTCATAGTTGGATTTAAAGAAAAAAATCACAAGGAATATAATAGTGGGAAGAAAATCTTGTTTCCTTGATTTTTCATTTCAATCCTTTGGGGCTAGCTAGCCAACTCTAGATTTCAAATTCCTACACCCATCCTCCCACCCCCAACAAAAAAACTATCACTGTTGCCTAGAACTAGCTAACAAACGTATTTATTTTGTCTTTTAATTACTTAAATTGTGACGTGATTAGAGTTTTGTACTTAAAACTTAACATATCTTTGATAATAAATTGAAAGTTTTAAAAATTCCTATTGCATTAAAATAGTTTTCCCAGAAGACTCAAATTTTCATTGGAAGATTAGAAGGGTTTTATTTTTATGCAGTTTACCAACACATGTACCTTAACTTTCTGAAGTGGCTTTTCTTCACAATCTGAACATATCAGAGTCTGGGGAATGGTATGATAGCTTTATTCATCAGTTCATCAAACATTTACCGACTGCTATGTTAGGCACTTTGTTTGGCCTGATACTCTATTAAAGCCTCAGAAAATTGCCTGAAATATAAAACACTAGCATACCCTCCCCCATTTTTGGGTACACTTAATTTTAAAGTAAATATTAACAAAATAAAGTAGATATGCACAATGGTGATTTGATAACTTCAGAGATTTACTCCAGTTTCATTTTTAAAATGTGTGTGTGTATTTTTTTTTTCTTTTTTTTTTTGAGACAGGGTCTAGCTCTGTTGTCCAGGCTGGAGTACAGTGGCATGATCTCAGGTCACTGCAACCTCCACTACCCTGGCTCAGGCCATTCTCCCACCTCAGTCTCCGGAGTAACTGGGACTACAGGCGCATGCCACCACACCCAGCTAATATTTGGCATTTTTTTGTAGAGAGGGGATTTTGCCGTGTTGCCCAGGCTGGTGTCCAACTCCTCAGCAGAAGCGATCCACCTGCGTCAGCCTCCCAAAGTGCTGGGATTACAGGCATGAGCCACCGTACCCAGCCAAAAATGTATATATTTCTAATTGATGTGTTAAGGTTTTATGAATTAGCAATAATAGAAATATTTCCATCTGTAACAAAATACTGCTGTAGGAAAATCACCCTGACCTACTGAAAATTATTCTTATAAAAAAGCGTTCCCCCCCCCCAATTAATTGCAGTATAATCCCTTACTTCTTTCCATCTTTGGCATCAGAAAAGTAACAAAGGAACCTTGTTCTTTGAAAGTTGTCATAAGTTTCCCAAGCAATAAAGTTCTCAAATAGAATTACATCCTTAAAGCCATAATCATAAGCAACTAGATTTTAATATCATAAGCACTTGTGGGAGCACTTATCATAATCATAAGCACTTGTTGGAGCAGAGTAGAACTGAGCAGTTGCTACAGGCTGGCCACTTTTCCTGGGGTGCTGGGAGGGCAGCTAGCCAGCACAGACGTGCTGAAGGACAGTGAGGACGACAGAGGAAGTGAGCTCAGGTGCACCTTGCTGGACTGCTGAGCACATATGGAAGTCACACAACACTCAGAAATAATCTTTGTTTTTGTGGAATTCCATGCTTTCATAGTCTCTTTTCTGTTGTTGTGATATTTGATAAAATTCCCTAAAAGCATTTTTTAGAGGGCCAGCTATTAAAATCTTTAACAGGGAAAAGGTTGCTTTTCATAGTTACAGTTTATATGTGCATGGTTTGTGCATACAGACGTTTGTCTCTTTTTCTTCTGTATCTTCTCCTCTCCCCCAGTGAAGTTATTCGAAGTCATTGAAACTGAAAAAACACTCTACCTAATCATGGAATATGCAAGTGGAGGTAAGAACATTTATATATGTATCGGGTTTTTTTCTTTCTCCCTTTTAAAAAAATACACAACCATACTGCCCATATGGGTCATCATTAAGGTCTCATTGAGTGTCCACAGCCATAATACACTAGGATGAGAGTCAGAAAAGCAGACTCTTAGCACTTCTAGGGGTTGCCATGAAGCGTTTCACTATTAGCGTTGTTAGTTGATAATGTCTAAATACCTGGATATTTTTTGTGGTAAAACATACATCACTTAAAATTATCGTTATAATCATTTTCAGGTGTGCAGTTCCGTGGCATTAGCACATTCACATTGTCCTCACCACCACCTGTGTCCAGAACGTTTTCGTTTTCCAACACGAAACTCTACACCCATTAAACACTAACTCTCCATTTCTCCTTCTCCCAGTCCCTGACAACGATTCTCCTTTCTGTCTCTATGAATTTGACTACTCTTGGAACCTCATACAAGTAGAATTATACAGGATTTGTCTTTTTGTGTCTGGCTGATTGATGCAGCATAGTGTCCTCAAAGTTCATCCATGCCATAGCATGTGTCAGAGTTTCATTCCTTTTTAACGCCGAATAATACTCCATTGTGTGTGCGGGACACACGCTCCACATTTTGTTTATCTTGAGTGGCTATTTAAACGTATGAATGCTTAGTCTGTTTGAGACAGATGTGTACTGTGGTTGCTCTGGTTTAGATGCTTTTCTTTACCAGATTTTCATGTCGCTGGTGTCTATCTTCCCTAAGGCCAGAAGTGATGGTTACAGTACACATCACTAGAGTTTCCTTAAAATAAAGATTAATGACTAGTAACTATTTGCCTACAGTTTTGTAAAAATGTAGACATTTTCTCAAATGCATGTTTATAGCTGCCATCTTTTATAATGATTTGTATTTTATGGTTGAGATTGGGTTGGGTTTGTAGTTTGGGGACCACACGTGAGTTTCATTGTCTGTGAAGAGCAGAAGCTTTCTTGTTCATCTTTTTGTGTTCCCTGCCTCTAGCACACTGCCTGGTACACAGCAGGTACTCAATAGATAAGAATTAGACTGCACTTATGAATTATAAACTACTGAGTACACATTCTGTTAAACTCTGTAGTAGTTTTATCATTAGCACTTTGATCCGTGCTACAAAACCTGAAGATAGAAAGTTGGATTATATTCTCATTTGAGTGAGTTTACCATTGAAAATAAAAAGATTGTAAACCTGTTGTGCAAAACAATGAGTTGTAGTATGCATACCTCTGACGCCACTGTTTTATACTCCTGATTCATTATTAGCTGTGTATTTTATACTTTATATATGTCTAGTGTGGGAATTTCATTGGGATTTTCAAAACTTCAGGAGTAGTAGAAAGAGGGGAAGGTTAATTTCAGGACCAAAAAGCTTTATGGCGTTCTAATACTTTCTATGGGCAAACAACACAGAGTAATGTTCATAGCCCTCTCGTTATACAGCCTCTACAGTGTACAAGGTGCTTTCTCTTACCAGATCTCCTTTGACCTTCACAGTGACTCCATGCTGTGGCCACGTAGTGAGTGATGGGCTTTTACCCCTGAGGAAATGGAGTCTGGGAAGTCTCACTGTGGGCACTCTGGGCCTGGATCCCTAGTGCTCTGACAGATAGCATTTCTAGTTTGTTGGTTGGTCATGGCTTTCTGTTCCCATCTATTTTAGCTACCCAGGTCACAGAGATTACTCCTATAGGGGCAAGACAAAAACATCTGAGAAGCATCCAGGTTTAGTAGAAAGAGGATGGGCTCTGGAAAAGACAGACATGGAGTGAATCCAGCCAGTGGCCCTCATTGGCCATGTGACCTGGCAAGTAACATGTGCTGAGCTGAGCTTCACAGTGAGCATAGGAACCCCCTCTGAGGGCTCAGTGCACTTGGCAGCATTGTAACAGCATTTAATCATTTAATCCAAGGTGGTGGTTCTGTATTACCTTGGGTTGGGTTTGGTTTGGTTTGGTTTGGTTTGGTTTGTGACAGGGTCTCGCTCTGTTGCCCAGGCTGGAGTGCAATGGCACCATCTCGGCTCACTGCAACCTCTGCTTCCTGGGTTCAAGTGATTCTCGTGCCTCAGCTTCCCGAGTAGCTGGGACTACAGGTGTACGCCACACCCGGCTAATTTTTGTAATTTAAGTAGAGGTGAGGTTTTGCCACATTGGCCAGGCTGGTCTTGAACTCCTGACCTCAAGCAATCCACCTGCCTTGGCCTCCCAGATTGCTGGAATTACAGGTTTGAGCCACAGCACCTGGCCTCTTTAACAGTGTTTTGTTGTTTATTAAAACAATTTCCAGGACATATGTTTTATTGTTGATGTGTTTGACATTGTGAAAAGTTTTATTAAATTGGCCACCCATTCCACCATTGCATCTCCCCCACCCCCCAGCCTGCTGCCTTTTGATTTGGTGGACTCATAGAATTTTAGAATTGAAAATAATTGTAGAAATTATAGGGCGACGGTCTAATTTTTACAGATGAAACTAAAGCTCAGAAAGTTTGTTCTATGCCAAGGGGTCCATAGCTAGTTTGTTTCAGGACCTGAACTAGAACTAAGGGCTTTCTGAACTGGCCTGTCAGTGTCCTTCCATCCAGCCACCTGTTCCCTGCCCAGGCAGGAGAGCCACTCTTGGCTTCTTGCTTCTTTTATCTCTAATAAATAGCCTTAAGTGTTTTTCAGTTCAGCTGCTTAACCTGAATGTTAATACATTTTTAATAAGGGAAAAAAGATCTAGATTGAATTCCTGGTTTAAAAGTTGAACTCCTGAATTATAATTTAGTAATTATGAGTGTGACATATGGTTCCAGGAATCTCTTAAGAGGTTTATATTGAATTTAAATTTAGAAAAAAATCTGTCAAAATTTTATTGACAGACTTGGATTTTATCTGTGTTATTCTACAAATGTTAGTGGGCTTCATCTTTTTTTAAAGTAAAACTCTTCTATATGATATTCACTCATGTTTAGTTGTTTTTGCTTATTAACCACTTGTTTTGACATTGTGTGCTTTTCTGCAAATAGAAAGGTCATTCGCATAGAAAATGCTGACACTTTACTGAGCTGATATTTAACTTCATAATTCATCATAGTTAAGTGAATTGTGTTGTGTAAACTCAACAGTGTGTAATGCCTTTTAAAAGATCATTATACAGGCTGGGCATGGTGGCTCATGCCTGTAATCCCAGCACTTTGGGAGGCCAAGACGGGCGGATCACTTGAGGCCAGGAGTTCGAGACCAGCCTGGCCAACGTGGTGAAACCCCCATCTCTACTAAAAATGCAAAAATTAGCCGGGTGTGGTGATGCACGCCTATAATCCCAGCTACTCAGGAGGCTGAGGCACGAGAATTGCTTGAACATGGGAGGCAGAGGTTGCAGTGAGCCAAGATCGGGCCACTGCACTCCAGCCTGGGTGACAGCACAACTCTTTCTCTCTCTCAAAAAAAAAGATCATTAAGCAATCAAGTAATAACATGAAAATATTTATGCCCATTCATTATGTAAAATTTGTTCTTTCAGAGTTAGGGTTAATAAGGGTTTCAAAGTCAGAGATAATTGTGTAATTCATAATGACTTTCAAGTATCAAAATATTTTAGTTTAATATTTTCACTAAGCTGGTGGATGTATTCCTTTTTTGTGTGAAATAAAGATGTTTCTTTCCCAAAAATACTTTATATCTAATTTTTTTTTTTTTTTTTTTTTTTTTTGAGACGAAGTCTTGCTCTGTTGCCCAGGCTGGAATGCAGTGGTGCAATTTTGGCTCACTGCAAGCTTCGCCTCCCAGGTTCATGCCATTCTCCTGCCTCAGCCTCCCCAGTAGCTGGGACTACAGGCGCCTGCCACCTCGCCCGGCTAATTTTTTTGTATTTTTTTAGTAGAGACGGGGTTTCACGGTGTTAGCCAGGATGGTCTCGATCTCCTGACCTCGTGATCCGCCCATCTTGGCCTCCCAAAGTGCTGGGATTACAGGCGTGAGCCACTGCACCCGGCCTATATCTAATTTTCTAAATTAGTATTCTTGTCTATTGATTTCAGAGGTGGTGATTCTTTATTCTACCTTGATAAGCACTTGACAGTGCTAATAATACATTCCTTGAAGTGTCACCTTTCTTTCCCAAGGAATTAATATTGTGTAAACTGCCACCTAGGTGTGCATCAGCTAGTTCTGTTGGCTTCACCTCCTTGTATCCTGAGCTCCCACTTCTCACCACCACTGTGCTTCCCACTCGAGTCCCCGTCACTTTCATGATTGGTTTGATTATTGTACTGATCTCCCGATTAGTCTTCCTGTCCCTTCCCATCATTGGAAGCCTCTTCCCCGCTAGCAGCCAGTGATCCTTTTAAGAGGTCAGTCATCTCATCTCTGCTTCTCGTCTCACTTATAGTAGAGCCAGAGTCCTCACCACAGCCTACAGGACTCTTCCCAGCCTCATGAACTACCCTCTTCCCCTCATTCACATTTCTCCAGCCCTTCTTGCTGTTTCTCTTACTACTATAGAATCTTACCCCAGATAACTACATTGTCCACACCCTCAAGTAGTCAGCAAAACACAAGTGTGTGCATGCACAGGCTTGCTTGTCTGTCTCTTTCTCCTACTTTTTCTCCACAGCACTTACTGTCCTCTTATACACTATATGTTTATTCATTTACTGCCCCCTCCCCCAACTAGAATGTAAACTCTATGAGGAAAAGGATCTTGTGTTCACTGCTGCATTTCCACGGAGCCTACCTAGAACAGTGCCTTGCAGTTAATAGACATTCAGTAAATATTTGTTGAATGAATGAATATATTCAGGAAATACTTTGTCATAATCCCGCAATAAGGATGTCCTCTTCTAACACAAATAACTTCATCCATTTTAATTTTCTGTTTTCATTGCTTAGTTTTTATTAAAACCTATTGAAAATGCTCTTTAAAATAAGAGTTTTATAATTTAAGCATAGGGAATTTAATTTTAAGGCTTTTCTCCAGCTTAAAGATTTTGTTGGTGAATTTAAATGCCTGTAGTTAAACTTAAAGCCAGCTTAGTTCAAATTCCACATATTTCTGGCTAACTTTATATCTATATTTAAAAATTAGAGCATTGCTAAAAGTGAAACATTATCAATTTATGGGAAAATTAATGCTCAGAAGTAGGATTTCTACTTACTTTTATTTCTCTCACCTGTAGGTGAAGTATTTGACTATTTGGTTGCACATGGCAGGATGAAGGAAAAAGAAGCAAGAGCTAAATTTAGACAGGTATGAATTAATGTGTCTTTACTTTGTTAATTTGATAATTTGTCTCACTTAAACCCTGAAGCAAACAAGCGTTTGCCTCCATAAATGCTTATACAGCCTGTTGGATGGCAGGGGTTGGCCATTCAATTCAACAAAAATTTATGAAGTGCTTTTCATACCTGAGGCACTGTGCTGGAGGCAGCCTTGGTTCTATTCCTAGCTTTGTAGTGGGAGCATTAGTCTTATACTTAACCTTGCCTTTTTCCAATTGAGCCTTAAAAATCTAGAGCCTTTCAAAAATGCCTATGATTACATTAATTAAAACCATTTCAGAGTTTTTAGCAAGCAGAGTGTCAGAACCCCAAAATTCATTATTAGCTTTGTCTAACATAAACCAAGACCAAGTGTAACTCAAACTGTTAATTGGTAACTTTACTTCTTGCTTTGTTTTTACTCTGCTTTTTAAAGAGACATGGGTTTTAATAAGCCGGTTTTAAGCATACAGGTTACTTAACTCTCCTGTCTTTATTAATAATAATTACTGTTACTGATTGACCATGCCACACACTGAGATAAGTACTTTACCAACATTAATGTAAATCTTACAACCGCCTTGTGTTATACCCCTTTGCTAAAAAAATAAGACAACTGAGACGTGGGAAGATTAAATGACTTGCCCAGAATTGCCTTTCTTCCCCCCCCCCCCCCCCCACTTATTGTGGAGAACGGGGTCTCACTGTATTGCCCAGGCAGGTCCCAGAATTGCCTTTCAAGTAGGAGACCTGCCATAGACTCAGAGTCTCATGCCCTCTGACCCCAAAACTCAGATTTGCAGTCATTATATTGTGCTATTACCTAGACTGGGAATCAGCAAACTTCTGTAAAGGACCCGATAGTGAACATTTTAGGCTTTGTGGACCACACTGTCTCTGTCGCAACTATTTAACTCTCCTGTTGTAGCTTAGAAGTAGTCGTAGGCTGGGTGCTGCGGCTCGTGCCTGTAATCCCAGTACTTTGGGAGGCCGACGTGGATGGATCGCTTGAGGTTGGGACTTCAAGACCAGCCTGGTTAACATAGTGAAACCCTGTCTCTACAAAAACACAAACATTAGCCGGGCATGATGGCAGGAGCCTGTAATCCCAGCCACTGGGGAGGCTGAGGCAGGAGAATCACTTGAACCCGGGAGATCGAAGTGGTAGTGAGCCAAGATCACGCCATTGCACTTTAGCCTGGATGACAGAGTGAGACTCCATCTCAAAAAAAAAAAAGTAGCAGCTGTAGACGATACCAAATGAATGAACGTGACTGTGTTCCAACAAAACTTTATTTACAAAAACAGGGATGGGCCGGATGTAACTAGAGGCCATAATTTGCCAACCCCTTATTTGTATGAAGGACAGGAGCAGTGCTTCACTGCTTTTAAATTACCTCTATATTCTCACAAGGTGTACATTGAAATGGAATTATAGCCTCTTTTCTCTCAGAACCTTTATATTTTGTTTTATTCATATACAAGGTTGTCAAGATGGACAGACTATTAAATAAAGTTCAAGTCTCCTTTGATTTGCTTAGTCTGATGTTTACATTTGTAAGTGATAGGACTTACTAAGTTTCTTATAAATGTTGCTTATATTTTGCTGTTGCTTAAATACTAATGGTACTTTGAATTCAAATGTACTAAAACCGAAGTAAAAATCACCTTTGGCTATCATTTAACTTCTCTGATCCTGTTTTTAAAGCTATAAAAAAAAAAAAAAAAAAAAAACTTGATGAATTCCATACTTCTTTGCAATTCTAATATCATTTGATTGTATGGTCTATGAAAGGAAATTCAGATTTTTATTAGAAAAAAGTCTGCTTGGCTCTTTCCATAACTGTACTCTTAATTTTTATAAATTGGTCACCTAAAAGGTAAAATGTTTTTGCTTCATACAACTTACATTCCTTCGTGCTTAGATGAATCTGACTTGCAAACATATATGTGAAGATCGCTTATTGACTATGAGGAAGGGACTGATGTCACCCAGCAAGAGCTTACTAACCTAAATCTTGAGGCAGTTACTCCAATTTTTATTGTAAATTCCCTGCAGAAATTCTGAAGTCTTTATTTGTGGAGCCTATTAGTTGGACTAGAAAAGATGTTTTGTATGTATGTGTTTTTATAGTTAGCAAATTGATTTAGAGTGCTTTAGAATTGACCCCTTCTTCCATGGTATTTGCCTAAGACAACTCCATTAGACTTGGAAGGATACGCATGATATTGGTGTTTCTACTTTTCTGTTTCAAATGCTGTGGTTTCTTTGTTTTTGTTTTTTGAGATGGAGTCTCCCTCTGTCACTAAGGCTGGAGTGCGGTGGCGTGATCTCAGCTCACTGCAACCTCCACCTCCCAGGTTGAAATGATTCTCCTGCCTCAGCCTTCCGAGTAGCTGGGATTACAAGTGTGCACCACCACGCCCAGCTCATTTTTTTTTTGGTAATTTTAGTAGAGACGGGATTTCACCACTGTTGGCCAGGCTGGTCTTGAACTCCTGATCTCAAGTATCTGACCTCCTCAGCCTCCCAAAACGCTGGGATTACAGACGTGAGCCATCGCGCTCAGCCTCAATTTCTGTGCTTTCTAGGAGTTTATAAGTCATCATTACTTTGACTAAGTAAAAAAAAGTTTTTCTATTTATGACAAAAAGGAAGGTATGCCACACACAAAGTACACTGTGTGTGATCCCTTTTCCATATTCATCACCAGATGGGTTTTCCCCTTCCTGCTTCCTCACCAAGCCCATCCTAGTTACTGCTTATGACGTTTTAATTTTTTGGTTGAGCTCTTGTTCTTTTCTGAGGAAAAAAAGTAGATTTCCAGCTCCATCTTTTTTACTTACCTCTTTCTTGGTGGGCTGGTGATACTGATTCTTTGATGCTCTTTTATGTATGATTGAAAGTGAATTAGGCTAACATTCATAGTTCAACCTAGATAACATCTATTAGCAATCACCATTTCTAGCTGCTGATAGAATGCAAAAAAAGCAGTAGGTTCAAGTTGAGTCTTTTCAGCTTATTGTGGCATCAGGTTAGCTTTGAGCTGTTTTGGAGCTAAAGAGAGAGAGAAATCCTTTGATCTCTTTGAGAAAGGGCAGGAAATCATCAAATCTGATTCAAAAGCAGAATTTGAAAATAAACTATAAGAGAAATCTCAATATGAGGAAAAACTAATATAAATTCTGAATGACAAAAGGGAAAAGATTAAATAAAATTTACCTGTATCCTAGGTGACAAAACTATTACTTTGTTTTGGGGAAACAAAGCTGTTTTACTTTTCCAGTTTTCATGCTGACAGAATAGAACAATAGTGATAAATACAAAGTAACAGATGCTTTAAAACCCGTGTTTGGGCATTGGAATTTTTGTACCTTTAGTTAATTATAAGTGGGTCTGATATTCTGAATGTTAATTTTAAATAATGAAAGTGCTGATTTTTGTCATCATCTCATCCTAACCCCAGTTTAACTTTTCCTTGCTGCTTATTCTGAACCAAAATATTGTACAGCCCTCTGAGATTTTATGTCCATGGGTGGGTCCATGGGGCTTACAGCTAAGTGTTGATGATGATTTGGAGGAACCAACAGTATTTTTATTATAACCTCAGTTTTGTGTATATGTAATCATATGTGTCTAAATATACATGCAGAATATCAAAGAAAAGACTAGATGCAAGTGCAACAAAATAACGAGAGATGTTACCTCTACTTAGTGGTAATGCAGGAATATATTTCTGTAGACTTTTCTGTATTTCCTGAAATTTCTACAATGAGCATATAAAGCTTTAATATTAGAAGACTTTTTTTAAGTGACCAGTAAGTGTGAAATTTCAGTAAAACAATTGTTTAATCATAGGCATGATTGCAAGTTGACTAAATAAAAGCATACTGTTTGCTGAAAGTGGGAGGAATCCTTAATAGTGCACGTGCACATAGTAGTTTTCATAGTTCACATACGTTACAACATTCATTCCTCCATTTTAATAAAGGAAGAGGAAACTGACCCTCAGAGAAGTTAACTAACTTTTGCTCTCCATAATCCACATTAGTTAATAGAAAGACTGTTGCAGGAAACAGGCTGAGAAGGGCACTTACAGAAGAGTAATCCTTTGATCTATTTGAGAAAGGATTAATCCAGGTATGGATTAACCTGGATTAACACCTGGGTATGGGCAACTCTCTAACGGCTGGTTTGAAGTTGACTCTAAGGATATAGAAAGGTTGCACCAGGCCAGGCACAGTGGCTCACGCCTGTAATCCCAGCACTTTGGGAGGCTGAGGTGGGCAGATCACCTGAGGTCAGGAGTTCGAGACCAGCCTGACCAACGTGGTGAAACCCCGTCTCTACTGAAAATACAAAATTAGCCGGGCATGGTGGTACACACTTGTAATCCCAGCTACTCAGGAGGCTGAGGCAGGAGAACTGCTTGAACCCAGGAGAGGGAGGTTGCAGTGAGCCAAGATCACGCCATTGCACTCCAGCCTGGGTGACAGAACAAGACTGTCAAAAAAAAAAAAAAAAAACAAAAAAAAAACCAGAGGTTGCACCAGAGCCGTCTGGTCCTAGGGGCAGCCAGGGTCCTCCAAATCCAGTCAGTTTGTTGGGTCCTGGCACTACACAGTAAATGGAATGTCAATGGATAGGGTCCAAAAAGAGACTTCAGTTAAAACAGTAGAAAACAGAACATCATCCTCACCTGTTTGTTTTTGCCCTCACCCCTGAATTTCTCCAGACTGGAAAGTTCAAGGCATAGGAAAATTGTTTTTAGAAATCCACATGGACATTCGAGTGCCTACTGAGTATTCTATATGTGTGAACATTAACAAAGTTATTTTCATCTTAATTACGAATCGGCACCAGTAATGACTGACTCTGTGTCTCTCCTATTCAGATTGTGTCTGCAGTTCAATACTGCCATCAGAAACGGATCGTACATCGAGACCTCAAGGTGAGTAGAAGTGCCTCACTCTCAGTGTATGCTCTGTCTGTATGTGTGCAGTTCTCTCAGTGGTCATTACACAAATGAGGTGTAGATTAGACTTACTAACATTTTTTAAAATCCCACAATAATTGAATCCTCTTAATCAAGTTATAGGAAAGAGCATTAAAAATAAAGAAAAATAAAGTTTATTGAAAGTATTTTACATTTCAGTTAAGGTGACTGGTGGTTGATCTCTGGAGGACAGTCATCACACAACCAAACAAATGGGGGCCTCCAGAAATGTATGGTCGCACCCACAGCATCCTCAGTGCGGCATTCATTTCTGCTGTTTTCATCAGCATTCTCTCCCGTTAACAGCAGTGCCCGTTTTAGACGTCTTTCAAGGTCCTCAGCCTCTGCCCTCACTCTGGCATAGGATGAGGTTTTGTATCACATAGAGAAAATAGAAAACACAAGGCAGAAACTCTCATTTTCTACCAGGCCCTCAAACCTACCTTCACCTACCCACATCCATCACTTCTTTCCATCCTGTTACAGGAGAGTGGGGTGCTTCTGCTCTGAGCTCTGGGTCCTGATTCCCTCTGGGGGCTGTGCTCTGTCTGATGCCTCTTTTCTCTCCATTTGTTTATTCACTCTCCCTCTCTACTTGCCTTTCACCAGCAGCTTTTACACATGCTCAAGTCTACTTTTTTTAAACTAAAAAGCCATCCCTGTTCCCCTTCCAGATGCACGTTTTTTCTCTCTTCCCCTTCATAGCCATATTTCTCTAAACATTTCCTAGATTCTGTGTCTTAACTTGGCACTCATCTTCGCTCTCCCCTCACGTAATTGTCATTGACTTGCTTGTTCTCTGCACCCACCCCTAGAGCATTCACATTCACTCTCTCAGCTCCAGTAGCCAACTGTATGCTGATGGTCCCAAATCCATTCCTGTGGCCAGAGCACTCTTCTGGGATCCAGGACCCAGCTGAGCAAAGCGTATCTTCATGTAAACATCCGTTGGGTGCAGCAGGTTCAAAGCCTATAAACATGAATGTTCACTTCTCATTCAGGTGACTAATGTCCCTCAGGTGCCTTACTCTCCTGTACTACCACTCAGTCACCAAGTGCTTTTGCTGCTGTGTTCCAAATATCTCTTAAGCTCACTCTTTTATGCCCCTGTTACACTATCCAAGGCCAGACCATCATTATCTCATAGTTGATTTCGACACTACTTTCTTACCTGTTCTTCTCTGCTTCTAGTGCCTCTTCTTCCCATGTATTTTTTCTACACTGCACACAGAATGGTCTTTTAAGGAAACACAAATAAGATGGTCATTTCTCTGCTTGAACAACTCTTCAGTGGCTTCCCATTGCTCTTATAATGAAAACTCAAACTTCTCAAGTACAGTCCTTTGTGATCAAGCCCTGACCATCTCCCCAGCCCCCTCTACACATCTCTATGCCACATACTGTCTTTCAGTTTCTTGTGTGAAACATGCTCTGTCTCACATGGGTTCTCACACTCTTTATTCTGCCTGAAATATCCCTCATCAACATATCCATTGTGATCACATGCACCTTCTGGTGCTTTGATTTCACGTCGTCTGGGAAGCCGTCCACGCCTTTCAGTGCCAACCCACAACTCCCTGTGCCTCTTCAGTTATGGCATTTGTGTCTCAGGACAGCTGCTTATCATTCTGCCTCTTCTAAACTGTGAGCTGTTGAGGGTAGGGCTTTATCTGTCTTGTTCATCATTATCCATCCAGACATTCATATAGCATCTGCTGTGGAGTAGCCACATAGAAAATAGGAAATGTTTGTTAAAATAAAGTGACTAGGCCGGGCGTGGTGGCTCAAGCCTGTAATCCCAGCACTTTGGGAGGCTGAGGCGGGCGGATCACGAGGTCGGGAGATTGAGACCATCCTGGCTAACACGGTGAAACGCCGTCTCTACTAAAAATACAAAAAGAAATTAGTCGGGCATGGTGGCGGGCGCCTGTAGTCCCAGCTACTTGGGAGGCTGAGGCAGGAGAATGGCGTGAACCCGGGAAGCCGAGCTTGCAGTGAGCCGAGATCGTGCCACTGCATTCCAGCCTGGGCGACAGAGCGAGACTCCATCTCAAAAAAAAAAATAAAGTGACTGTGATTTGTCTCTCTGTCTCTTTTTTTTTTTTTTTTTTTTTTTGAGGCGGAGTCTCGCTCTGTCGCCCTGGCTGAAGTGCAGTGGTGCAATCTCAGCTCACTGCAACCTCCACCTCCCACGTTCAAGTGATTCTCCTGCCTCAACCTCTCAAGTAGCTGGGATTACAGGTGCCCACCACCACACCTGGCTAATTTTTTGTATTTTTGGTAGAGATGAGGCTTCACCATGTTGGCCAGACTGGTCTCGAACTCCTGACCTCAGGTGATCCACCCGCCTCAGCTTCCAGAAGTGCTATGATTACAGGCGTGAGCCACCGCACTCAGCCGTGATTTGATTCTTGAATGAGGTTTGGGATTCTCCCCTCCTCCTCATTAACAGCCATTTTATAGCTATTTAGCAGCTTTTATGAAATGCCCCTTTTTTTAAAAAGTTATGTATTTTTTGAGACAGGGTTTTACTTTGTCACCCAGGCTGGAGTGCAGTGGCACAATCATAGCTCATTGCAGCCTCAAACTCCCAGGCTTAAGAGATCCTCCCACATAAGCCTTCCAGGTAGCTGGGATTACAGACGTGTGCCACCATACCCAGCTAATTTTATTTTATTTTTTTTGTAGAGAAGGGGTCTCACTATATTGCCCAAGGTGGTCTCGAACTCCTGGGCCCAAGTGAGCCACTGTACCTGGCCCTACCCCTACCCCTGCCCCATATTATTCTTGTTTTTTGTTTTTGAGATGGAGTATCACTCTGTCGCCCAGGCTGGAGTGCAGTGGCACGATCTCAGCTCACTGCAACCTCCCCCTCCCAGGTTCAAGCAGTTCTCCTGCCTCAGCCTCCTGAGTAGCTGGGATTACAGGTGTGTACCACCATGCCCAGCTGATTTGTGTATTTTTAGTAAAGACAGGGTTTCACCATGTTGACTAGGCTGGTCTCGAACTCCTGGCCTCAGATGATTCGGCCACCTCGGCCTCCCAAAGTGCTGGGATTATAGGTATGAGCCACCGTGCCCGGCCCCCATATTATTATTATTATTATTAATTGAAAAAAAATTGTCAAGATTTTTCTTGATCTTGGGACATTGATATTTAAATTAGTGCTAGAATTAATCTATACTTCATGTTTATTATTGTTAGTTATAAAATAAGGAGCTCTAACTTGTCTCCTGTTTTTGTCTGTAGAAAGAATGTTTTCACATTAATTAGGAGGTAACTTTATATCATTACAGAAAACTTTTCTGAAATGCCTAATCCTGTCATAATTCTAATTCTATTTTGGTTAAATTTCATTTTTGTCTTCATGTTTTCCCTCTAGGCTGAAAATCTATTGTTAGATGCCGATATGAACATTAAAATAGCAGATTTCGGTTTTAGCAATGAATTTACCGTTGGCAGTAAACTCGACACGTTTTGTGGCAGTCCTCCATACGCAGCACCTGAGCTCTTCCAGGGCAAGAAATACGACGGGCCAGAAGTGGATGTATGGAGTCTGGGGGTCATTTTATACACACTAGTCAGTGGCTCACTTCCCTTTGATGGGCAAAACCTAAAGGTATAAGAAGCTGCACCATGTACTTCACTAAACTACAAGAAGTTTCCAAATATTGTATGGCTTAATGTTTTTAACATTGTATCAGTGGAGGGGTTTCAGGGGGTTTTTTGTCGTGCTTTGTTAACTAAACCTAAAAGGTTGACTGACTTGTTTTCTTTCCTCTCTACCTCCCCAAAGGAACTGAGAGAGAGAGTATTAAGAGGGAAATACAGAATTCCCTTCTACATGTCTACAGACTGTGAAAACCTTCTCAAACGTTTCCTGGTGCTAAATCCAATTAAACGCGGCACTCTAGAGGTAATCATGTCGGTGGAAACAAGCAACAACTTTGGAGAGTCTTTAGAGTGGCCTTAGGTCTTGGCTTGATTTGTATGCCCCACTGGATACATCCTGCGGCTTCTTAAGGAAGAATTAAAACATTAAAAAAAATATTTTTGAGTTTATGTTTTGAACGATAGTCAATGAAATGTTGAAAATAAATTTTTGTAAATATTATGGTTATCAGAATATTTCATTTTACTCTGCTAATGAACAGTTTACCTTTTTTAGCAAATCATGAAGGACAGGTGGATCAATGCAGGGCATGAAGAAGATGAACTGAAACCATTCGTTGAACCAGAGCTAGACATCTCAGACCAAAAAAGAATAGGTAATGACTCCATGCCTGCATGTTCATGTGTAGTTGTCTAAGTAACACATTTCTGTTTTGACTCATGTCTGTGCCTAAAATGTGAATAATGGAAAGTTAAGCACAAGTTATATGAACAGTTTATCTGTTCTGTCATATTTAGGAACGTAACTACCTGTAGTTTCCAGTAACTCTGAAACAAGTGCCCATTTATGTTAGAAAATGTATGTAATATGTCATCTTTTAGGTCAAATGAAAATTACTTTACCCTATAAAAGAATGATTTCTGGCTGGGCACAGTGGCTCATGCCTGTAATCCCAGCACTTTGGGAGGCCGATGTGGGCAGATCACCTGAGGTCAGGAGGTCGAGACTAGCCTGACCAACATGCAGAAACCCTGTCTCTACTAAAAATACAATATTAGCCAAGTGTGGTGGCGCATGCCTGTAATCCCAGCTACTTGGGAGGCTGAGGCAGGAGAATTGCTTGAATCTGGGAGGTGGAGGTTGCTGTGAGCCGAGATCACGCCATTGCACTCCATCCTGGGCAACAAGAGCAAAACTCTGTCTCAAAAAAAAAAAAAAAAGGATGATTTCTTACCCAAACAAAACACATAAACTGTATTATGCCTTTCTTTTAGATATTATGGTGGGAATGGGATATTCACAAGAAGAAATTCAAGAATCTCTTAGTAAAATGAAATATGATGAAATCACAGCTACATATTTGTTACTGGGGAGAAAATCTTCAGAGGTAAGAGTAATCAGAGAAAGAGCTGAAATACCCTTTATGTAATTATTAGTTTATATAAACTGTTTTCTTAGTTTTTATCTTTTGAATATTTGTAACATTTGATACATCATTTTTTAGATTTACCTGCAAATAGCAAATCTAAATCCTATGACTATTATAAGCTATTTTAACTTAACCCTTAATGGTGAATATTGACCAGGTGTGGTGGCTCACACCTGTAATCCCAGCACTTTGGGAGACCAAGGTGGACAGATCACTTGAGACCAGGAGTTTGAGACCAGACTGGCCAACATAGGGAAACTCTGTCTCTGCTAAAACAAACAAACAAACAAACAGAAAATTAGCCGGGCGTGTTGGCGCGTACCTGTAATCCCAGCTACTTGGGAGGCTGGGGCAAGAGAACCACTTGACCCTGAGAGGCAGAGGTTGCGGTGAGCCAAGATCACACCACTGCACTACAGCCTGGGTGACCAAGAGTGAGACTGTGTCTCAAAAAAAAAAAGAAAAGGTGGATATTATCATAAACCTGGTCTTTCATAAATTAACCTATAGTCATTAATAGCTTAGAAATGACGTAAAGCATCAGATGAAGTAAATAGAGCATTTAAAGTTAAATTCGAGAAAGCCTGGGAAGAAAATCACACATACATTACCTTTAATGTCTTTCCAGCAGTCAGAAAACTACTTTTACTTGAGTTTAGGGTTGTCATTTTTGTACGTTGTGATTCCTCCTCTCTCTGAATGAACGGTTTATGAGACGTCTGTGTTAATGAAAAGTTTAACTTCCTAATAAACCATTTGGGTTCGTGTTGTGGTTTGCTCTGTTTTTCTCATTTTCTCTTAGCTGGATGCTAGTGATTCCAGTTCTAGCAGCAATCTTTCACTTGCTAAGGTTAGGCCAAGCAGTGATCTCAACAACAGTACTGGCCAATCTCCTCACCACAAAGTGCAGAGAAGTGTTTCTTCAAGCCAGAAGCAAAGACGCTACAGTGACCATGGTAAGTTTTGGAGTATCCCAGTGCCTTCTCTTAGAGTCCAGGCAAGAGGTCTCCTAGCACTGGGAAGCATTCTCTTGCTCAGAGCTTGGCTTTGATGTCTTTTCTTGGCATTTATTTATTTATTTATTTATTTATTTATTTATTTCCTTCCTTCCTTCCTTCCCTCCCTTTTTTCTTTTCTTTTTTCTTTTATTTCTTTTTTTTTTTTTTTTCTTTGAGACAGAGTCTCGCTCTGTTGCCCAGGCTGGAGTGCAGTGGCACAATTTTGGCTCACTGCAGCCTCCACCTCCCAAGTTCAAGCAATTCTCCTGCCTCAGCCTCCCGAGTAGCTGGGACTACAGGCATGTACCACCATGCCTGGCTAAGTTTCGTATTTTTAGTAGAGACGGGGTTTCACCGCATTTGGCCAAGCTGGTCTTCAGCTCCTGGCCTCAAGGAGGCCCGCCTCGGCCTCCCAAAGTGCTGGGATTACAGGCATGAGCCACCATGCCTGGCCAGCATTTTTTCTTAGTGTTCCTGCAGGTGCTTCCGTGATTACATATTACTTCAAGGCTCTGTTCTTCTTTGTACATTCAGTAGATTTTTGCTGGATAAAGCTTAGTTGAGTGGAAACCTTTCCACTTGCCATTCTAGAACCTCTGCTTTAATCTGTAGTTTTTCTTTTTTCTTTCTTTCTTTCTTTTTTTTTTTTTTTTTTAATGGAGATGGGGGTCTCACTGTGTTGCCCAAACTGGTCTCACACTCCCAAGTTCAAGTGATTCTCTCACCTCAGCCTCCTAAAGTGCTAGGATTACAGGCATGAGCCACCATGCCCAGCGCTTACTCTATAGTTCTATTTACTCTCTTCACCTCTGCATTGGATTTACTTTGTAGAGTAGCACTGTCCAGTAGAACTTTCTGTGATCATTACAGTTTCGTTTATCTGTGCTGTCCAGTTCAGTAGCTACTGGACACTTGTGGCTATCAAGTACTTGAACTGAGGGAATTATTTTTACCCTTTTTATTTTTATTTTTTTTAATTTTTATTTATTTATTTATTTTTGAGATGGAATCTGGCTCTGTCGCCCAGGCTGGAGTGCAGTGGCGTGATCTTGGCTCACTGCAACCTCCATCTCCCAGGTTCCAGCGATTCTCCTGCTCAGCCTCCTGAGTAGCTGGGATTACAGGTGTGCACAACCATGCCTGGCTAATTTTTGTATTTTTTAATAGAGACAGGGTTTCACCATATTGGCCAGGCTGGTCTTGAACTTGTGAGCTCAAGCAGTCCGCTCACCTTGGCCTCCCAAAGTGCTGGGATTACAGGCACACACCACCACACCTGGCCAATTTTTGTATTTTTAATAGAGACGGGATTTCACCATGTTGGCCAGGCTGGTCTAGAACTCCTGACCTCAGATGATCCACCCACCTTGGCCTCCCAAAGTGCTGGGATTACAGGTTTGAGCCTGTAATTGGCCTGGCTGGCCGATTTTTACCCTTTTAAAATTTTACTGGCCGGACGCGGTGGCTCACGCCTGTAATTCCAGCACCTTGGGAGGCCGAGGCGTATGGATCATGAGGTCAGGAGTTCAAGACCAGCCTGACCGACATGGTGAAACCCCATCTCTACTAAAAATAAAAAAATTAGCTGGGCATAGTGGCATGTGCCTGTAATCCCAGCTACTCCGGAGGCTGAAGTGGGAGAATCGCTTGAACCCGGGAGGCGGAAGTTGCAATGAGCCAAGATCGTGCCACTGCACTCCATCCAGCCTGGTGACAGAGTGAGACTCCATCTCAAAAAAAATAATAATAATGATAATAATTTTTTTTTTACTTAAATGTAGTGTGTATATATATATATATAGCCAGTTGTGGCCAGTAACTATCATAATGGACAGGGCAGCCCTGGAGAATATATGGAACCTCAGTTTTGCCTTAATTGGTTTAAATGTTTTACTGTGTCATTCTCATCCATACTCTTGCTGTTAGTGTGGTTAAGCCACCCTCCCTTTTAAACTTCACCTAGAAGCCAGTCCTTTATGAGACATAAGACCCCCAAAGGATAGGCTTACCAGGCTCTACGGTTGCTCTGCCTTCAAGGCAGCCTGTGTGTCAGTGTCCTGAGGCCAGCATGTGTGTTTACTCGCCCGTAACTATAAATGTTAACATTGCAGATATTTCCTTTAATTCTACTATTCCAGGATGCAGGAACCAAATCTATTTCTTTTTTTTTAAGACGGAGTTTCACTCCTGTCGCCCAGGCTGGAGTGCAATGGCGCAACCTGGGCTCACTGCAACCTCCGCCTCTCCTGGTTTCAAGCAATTCTCCTGCCTCAGCCTCCCGAGCAGCTGGGACTACAGGCCTGCACCACAATGCCCGGCTAATTTTTTAATTTTTAGTAGGGATGGAATTTCTCCACCTTTGGCCGGGCTGGTCCCGAACTCCTGAACTTAGGTGATCCATCCGCCTTGGCCTCCCAAAGTGCTGGAATTACAGGCATGAGCCACTGCGCTCGGCCTCATTTTATTTCTCTTCTCTGGACATTTTCCATCTTAATACTTTCATCTTGAGATTTGACACTTAGGACTGCACAGAGCATTGTAGGTGTGGACAGTCTTTGATTTTGTACTAAAAATGATGACTCTTGGCTTGATTTCCATTTCTCTTCCTTCCGTTGCCTGCCTTTCTACATGGTTTAGACTGAAGCAACAGTGTACTAATATCACTAGTAAACCATCTACAGTGCCTGCTATTCTAGGGTATAACTGAGAGCTCAGAACTCATTCTGATATCAGGATTTATGCTCCTAGCGTTTGTAGGTGACGTGTTGATCTAGGTGTGCCTTTTTTGTGTTCATGTTAGTCACTAACGAGGGTTTCTAGTGCCTATGGACCACAGGGCAATTAAATGCCCTGAAACCATCTGGTTTAAATTGTCCCGAAATCCTAGAAGAAACCTGACAACAGGATTTTCACATTTCTCTAAGGAATATGTTAGTAAGTTAGTTCTTCCTTAAGCACATAGATTCTATCCGGGTTATTAGTGCCTTTTTTTCCCCCAGCTCAATTTTAGAGATAAAAAGAGCTTTAGACATGGTATTGTACACTCATCAAACCTCTTGTTTTATCTCTAAAGAAATAGACCAAGAGAGATTACTAAGTCTCCCAAGGTTACATAGTAAATGAGAAACACCTGGGGCAGAGCTCAAGCCTCCTGGTCCCAGCCCTTTGGTTTTCTCCACTGAAACACCTCATTGGAGTAGCTTTTTCATAATCCTCATCTTTCTTGGAATTTCTGAAGGCAGGCAAGCCTGTATAGCCAGGCCAACTTTCACCTCATCCTGCCTCATCTCACCTCTCTCTTCCTTTGTCCCTGCCTATGGATGTTGACCTCTGCATGGGTGCCTGCTTCTTCTCTAAATCCACAATGTAATTTGTAGCTGTCCTTCCTAATTTGAGACCCACGTGTGAACACCCCATATGTGTGTATACACTTTTTCTGTGAATGGTGATCTTCATCTGACTTTCAAGGGGTTCTTTAGCTTGTTTTTTAAAAAATGGAAAAAAAAAAAATCACTGTTTACCAATCAATGAGTGGTGTTGGGGCAATTTGGTAGTTCTCAAAAAAAATTAATTTGGATCAGTTTCTCACATCTTATACAAGGATGAATTCCAATTGGAGTTAAGATACAAATATAAAAAATAAAACTCTAGAAATATTGAAAGAAAACATGGGATTGTTTGCTTTATAACTTGGACTGGTGAAGGTGTTTTTGTCACCCCAAACACCAGACCCATGAATTAAAAGACTTACAAATTTGATTACATAAAAATGAAATTTCTGGCCGGTTGCGGTGGCTCACGCCTATAATCCCAGCACTTTGGGAGGCCGAGGTAGGTGGATCACAAGGTCAGGAGATCAAGAACATCCTGACTAACGTGGTGAAACCCTGTCTCTACTAAAAATACAAAAACAAAATTAGCCGGGCTTGGGGGAGGGTGCCTGTAGTCCCAGCTACTCGGGAGGCTGAGGCAGGAGAATGGCGTGAACCCGGGAGATGGAGCTTGTAGTGAGCCAAGATCGTGCCACTGCACTCCAGCCTGGGCAACAGAGCGAGACTCCATCTCAAAAAAAAAAAAAGGAAAAAGAAATTTCTGTGTGACACATCCATACTGTGGACTACTACTCACAATAAAAAGGAACAGGCCTGGTGTGGTGGCTCACGCCTGTAATCCTAGCACTTTGAGAGGCTGAGGCAGGTGGATCATGAGGTCAAGAGATTGAGACCATCCTGGCCAACATGGTGAAACCCTGTCTCTACTAAAAATACAAAAAATTAGCTGGGCGTGGTGGCGGGCGCCTGTAGTCCCAGCTACTCGGGAGGCTGAGGCAAGAGAATCGCTTAAACCTGGGAGGTGGAGGTTATAGTGAGCCGAGATTGCACCACTGCACTCCACAGCCACAGACCAAGACTCCGTCTGGGGGGAAAAAAAAGGAACAAACTATGATGTACACAACTCGGATCTCAAGGGAATTATATTGGGTGAAAGTACACAAAAGGTCACATTCCATGGATGCCCATTCACGTAACATTCTTGAAATGACAGAATTCTATAGATGACGAGCAGGTTAGTGGTTGCAGGGGTTTAGCAAAAGGGAGTTAAAATAAGAGGGAAGTGGCTGTGGCTATGAAAGGGTAGTCGATAGGGTCTTTGAGATGGAAATATTCTGTATCTTGACTGGTGGGGACCACATGAATCTGAACATGTAATGAAAGGGTATAGAATGAAATACACAGACTTACAAATTAGTACAAGTGAAACTGGGGAAATCTGAACGAGGTCAGTGGATTAGATCAATGTCTGTTTCTCTTCAGAATCTCAAATCTTAAAAGGTTTTATATTTTCTAAAAACAAATAAAAGTTTGAAAGTAAATCAGTAGTAACCTGAAAGTTCACAATGTCAGTAGACCTCTCATGGTATTGGGAAGAAAGATACGCGTTGAGGCTAATATCACCCTGTACTTGGTTAAGTTTTTGTTTTATATGTTAAAATTACTAAACCAAAAGCTTAGTTGTTGTTCTCCCATAAATAAACCAAAAACTTAGTTGTTCTCCCATAAATAAAATTAAGCCCTTATTTACTTTTAATTCAGTTCCAGATAGGTTTGCTATTTAGATTTTTGTCCAAGAACTAGCTCCTCCCCACTCCCGTTTTTTTGTTTGTTTTTTAAATTTATTTATTGAGACAGTTTCTCACTCTCACCCAAGCCACATGCAGCCTCAAACTCTTGAGCTCAAGCTATCCTCCTACCTCAGTCTCCCAAAGTGTTGGAATTACAAGCGTGAGCTACCACGCACCTCCCACCTTTAATATATTTAAAATATAAATTCTCTTCTGCCTTAGAAAAAACAGGGCTGGTGCGGTGGCTCACTCCTGTAATCCTAGCACTTTGGGAGGCCAAGGTGGGCGGATCACGAGGTCAGGAGATCGAGACCATCCTGGCTAACACTGTGAAACCCCGTCTCTACTAAAAAAAAAAAAAAATTCAAAAAAAAAGTTAGCCAACACGTGCCTGTAGTTTCCCCTACTCCGGAGGCTGAGGCTGGAGAATCTCTTGAACCTGGCAGGCAGTGGTTGCAGTGAGCCGCAATCGAGCCACTGCACTCCTGCCTGGGTGAGAGAGCTAGACTCGGTCTCAAAAAAGAAAAAAAAGAAAAAAACGAGCATTTGATGCTGTCCTTTAAGATCACCACTGGATTATCATATCTGAGGCATACACTAATTATCATGTTCACTTCCAAAATTCTTTGCACTCTGAATCTCCTGTGCTGCTGTTGGAGTCTCTGTATGGTTTACTGCAGGACATCAGTCTGTCATCCACATGTCCCTAGGCACATATCCCTGGACACACTCCTCCTGCAGTGGCAGGAATGACTAGTGACCTCCACCGACTTCCTCCCTGTCACTTGCATGTTTCCTCTGCTGCTACACCTTCCCCTGTCTCCTCAAACTCCTGTTTATCTAGAAGATTATGAGCACTTTTAAAAAGATCTAAGATAACACTTCAAAAGAAGTAGCCCATAAAATCGATACTTTTCTCTTCCAAAAGGTGATGGCATCTCTCCTACAAAAAGAGGATGTAATTCACTCAGATGTGCAAGATGAACTGGTTGATTCTGCTTGTTATTTGTGCATCTAATTAGTTTGAATCTATACAGTACCACCACCTTAAGGTGTTTCCAAAGGACAACTCTAAACACTATTTTTTAAGTAGAAAGTTTGGGGTATTAAGTGAAATTTCAATATTGAATTCATTGCATAAGGCAAACATTAGATATAAGTGGGAAACATCTTAGAGGATTTTACTGTTTTACATTTTTTTAGGTGAATAGCAACCTTAGATCATCTTAGAAAATACAGTTACTGTCACAAAATAAAACTTGAAACTATATTCAGTCATTTAAAAAGTGAACTCTTTATTTTAGCTGGACCAGCTATTCCTTCTGTTGTGGCGTATCCGAAAAGGAGTCAGACCAGCACCGCAGATAGTGACCTCAAAGAAGATGGAATTTCCTCCCGGAAGTCAAGTGGCAGTGCTGTTGGAGGAAAGGGAATTGCTCCAGCCAGTCCCATGCTTGGGAATGCGAGTAATCCCAATAAGGCGGATATTCCTGAACGCAAGAAAAGCTCCACTGTCCCTAGTGTAAGTGTTGTTGAACTGTAGAGTGGTCTTAGGGTGGTAGGGTTGGAACTGGCTGGACACCAGGTGTTCATTTTACTCCTGTGGTCTCCCGTGCCTGGAAGCTTTCTCCACTAGACAACCATGCCCAATCTTAACCTATAGAAATCCTACCTGCTGCATTGTAGGTATTTATTGTTGACACTCTTTTAGTTCATTCCTGCTGCTGTAACAAAATACCTGATACTGGCTAATTTATAAAGAAAAGACTTGATTTCCTACAATTCTGGAGGCTGAGAAGTCCAAGATGAAGGCACCAACAAGTTCCGTGTCTGGCAAGGGCTCTGTTCTCTGCTTCCAAGATGGTGCCTTGGTGCTGGCATCCTCCAGAGGAGACGAATGCTGTGTTCTCATGTGGCTGAAGGGACAGAAGGGGTGAACTCACCCCCTCAAGCCCTTTTATAAGACACTAATCCGGCTGGGAGCGGTGGCTCACGTCTGTAATCCCTGCACTTTGGGAGGCCGAGGTGGGTGGAGTTCAAGAGATCAGGAGTTCAAGACCAGCCTGGCCAAGATGGTGATACCCCATCTCTACTAAAAATACAAAAATTAACCGGGCATGGTGGCGGATGCCTGTAATCCCAGCTACTCAGGAGGCTGAGGCAGAGAATTGCTTGAACTCGGGAGTCAGAGGTTACAGTGAGCCAAGATCGCACCACTGCACTCTAGCCTGACGACAGAGCAAGACTCCTTCTCAAAAAAAAAAAAAAAAAAGACACTAATCCATTCATGAAGGCAGAGCCCTCATGGCCTAAACACCTAAAAGACTCACCTCCAAATACTGTTTTCTCCTGTGGGAGATAAAGCTTCAACATGAATTTTGGAGGGGACGCATCCAAAGCATAGCACACCCACCATAGACACTAGATGGTGATAGGTCCTTTATTTCAAGGGCTGGTTCCAGTTATTTCACAGACACCTGCTGAACCTTAGGTTGTCAGGTGCTGAGACATGGAAAGACCTCAGTCTAACAGGAAGTGAATGAAAACAATGGCAGTGCTGACAGAAGCCTACTGTGCATACACGGGGAGGTCTGACTGCCAATGCCCCAAAGATGTGGTGTTCACACTGAGTCTTAAAAAGGTTCTAATGATGATGAGTGTTGGCTGAGTTCCTGCCGTGTGCCAAGGACCATGCTAAGTGCTTTTTCATGGATTAGCTACATTTTAAGGTGAAAAAAAGTTGGGTAATTGCCTAAAATTACACTGCCAACCTGAATCCAGCTCTTAATCCCTACCTGTAACAAAATCTCCCCAGTAAATAGATAATATTTACTACATTAAATTGCATCCATTCAGCTTCAGAAACTGTTTTCTGTGTATTGAGGTGTGTTCTATCTAACCTGTTAAATAATTTGCAGAGCAGTCAACAATCTTATAGAAGCACATTTTTCCCTACAGAATTAACAATGATGCAGCCCTGCCTCTAACTCCAGAAAAACGCTGGACTGAGGAGACTATGGAGAAGCCCTGTTCCTCTCTTTGAAAGCCCTTCATTGTTCCATTCTGAACTGGGTGCATACAGGACCCCAAGGGGCTTTGCGTGCTTCATCCTCTGACCTTATGCTTAGTCGGAGTAAACCCTGTGTGAAAAGTTTATTTTGGCTTCCAAATGCCATAAAATAGGATTGTTGTTTCCATACTCCTGCAGTTACAATTCAGTCTCCAGTGTTCATTGACAATTACCAGAGAAGATGAGGGCATTGTTCCCTGCCTTCATGACCTCCCTTCCCCTTTGCTCTTGTCTGCACGCTGCCCCTCTGCAAGTCAATCATGAGTATTATCAGTCCACCCACACTAAATTACTTACAAAGGAAAAAGGTAGTTAGCAACATTATTTTCTCCCATGAATCTTCGGGATTCCTCTCTACATGGTCTGCTCATGCTGTAGTAAAAGTGACTGCTTTATCTTTGTTTAAAAATTATCTGATAAAATTCCATAGCTATGACTGGGCACAGTGGCTGTAATCCTTGCACTTTGGGAGGCCGAGGTGGGCAGATCACTTGAGGTCAGGAGTTCGAGACCAGCCTGGCCAACATGGTGAAATCCCATCCCTTCTAAAAATACAAAAATTAGCCGGGTTTGGTGGTGCGCTCCTATAATCCTAGCTACTCAGGAGGCTGAGGCAAGAGAATTGCTTGAACCCAGGAGGTGGAGGTTGCAGTGAGCTGAGATTGTGTCATTGCGCTCCAGCCTGGGTGACAGAGCAGGACTCCATCTCAAAAAATTAAAAAAATGTCCATAGCTGTGATTTGTTCCTTGCTTTTTAGTTTTTTATTTTGGAAGTTAAATTCATGTGAATCCACATGACAATGATTAACCATTTTAAAGTGGGCGATTTGGTGGCATTTGGTACACTCACAGTATTGTGCAACCAGCACCTCTCTAGTTTCGGAACTTTTTCAGCTCCCCAGAAGGAGCATCTGTTTAGGCTGGGCACAGTGGCTTACCCCTATAATCCCAGCACTTTGGGAGGCTGAGGTGGGAGGATCGCTTGAACCCAAGAATCTGAGATCAGCCTGGGCACCAAAGTGAGACCTCATCTCTACGAAAAAATTTAAAAAGAAAATAGCTGAGCATGATGATGCATACCTGTAGTACCAGCTACTTGAGAGGCTTAGGTGGGAAGATCGTTTCAGCCTAGGAGGTTGAGGCTGCAGTGAATCTTGGTCATACCACCATATTCCAGCCTGAGCAACAGAGCAAGACCCTGTCTTTAAAAAAAAAAAAAAAAAAAAAAGGGCATGGTGACTCACACCTGTAATCCCAGCACTTTAGGAGGCCAAAGCAGGCAGATCACAAGGTCTGGCGTTTGAGACCAGCCTGGCCATCATGGTGAAACTCCATTTCTACTAAAAATACAAAAATTATCTAGGCATGGTGGCAGGCGCCTGCAGTCCCAGCTGCTCGGGAGGCTGAGGCAGGAGAATCAATTTAACCCGGGAGGCGGAGGTTATAGTGAGCCAAGATGGCGCCACTGCACTCCAGCCTGGGTGAAAGAGAAAGGCTGCATAAAAAAAAAAAAAAAAAAAAAACAAACACACCTGTATCTCTTAGGTAATCACTTTCCATTCCTCCCTTCCCCTCCCCTCCCCTCCCCTCCCTTCCTCTCCCTTCTCCTCCCCTCCCCTCCCCTCCCCTCATGCCCTGGCAACCACCAGTCTGTGTTCTGTCTCTCTGGATTTGCCTGTTCTGAATATTTTATATAAATAGAATCATTTCACATGTGTCCTTTTGTGTCTGCTTCTTTAACTCAGCGTAATGTTTTCATGATTCATCCAAGTTGTAGCATGTATTTTTTTTCTTTTTTTTTTTTTTTTTTGAGATGGAATTTCACTCCTGTTGCCTAGAGTGCAATGGCACGATCTTGGCTCACTGCAAACTCCACCTCCTGGGTTCAAGCAATTCCCCTGCCTCAGCCTCCTGAGTAGCTGGGATTACAGGCATGCACCACCATGCCTGGCTAATTTTGTGTTTTTAGTAGAGACGGGGTTTCTCCATGTCGGTCAGTCTGGTCTCGAACTCCCGACCTCAGGTGATACACCCACATCAGCCTCCCAAAGTGCTGGGATTACAGGCGTGAGCCACCATGCCCAGCCTGTAGCATGTATTAGTACTTTGTTTCTTTTGGGGGTAATATTCCATTCTGTGTATATGCCACAATTTAACTGTTCATCTGTTAATGGACATTTATATTATTTCCATGTATTTGTTAAAATGAATAATGCTACTGTAAGCAATTGTGTACAAATTTCTATGTGGTCTTATGTTTTAATTTCTTTTTCTTTCTTGGGGAGGAGACAAGATCTCGCTCTGTCACCTAGGCTAGAGTACAATGGTGCAAATACGGCTCATTGCAACTTTGACTTCCCAGACCCAAGAGATCCTCCCACCTCAGCCTCCCAAATAGCCGATACCACAGGCATGCGTCACCATGCCTGGCTTATTTTTTCTGTTTGTTTATTGTGGTAGAGATGAGGTCTCCCTGTGTAGCCCAGCCAGGCTGGTCTCAAACTCCTAGGCTCAAGCAGTCCTGCCGCCTTAGCCTTCCAAAGTGCTGGGATTACAGGCATTAACCGCTGCACCTGGCTGTGTTTTCATTTTTCTCGGGTATATATCTAGGAATAAAATTGTTGAGTCATATGGTAACTCCATGTTTAATTTTTTGGTAAACTGCCGAACAGTTTTCCTCACAACTGTACCATTTTATCCAGTAATAGTGAGAGTCTCTTTTCTTCACATTCTTGCCAACAATTAATAATTATTATTATTTTATTATTTAAAGCTTTCCTAGTAGGCAGGAAGAAGTACCTCATGGTTTTGATTTGCATTTCTTTAATGACCAGTGATATTGGGCATCTTTTCATGTGCTTCTTGGCCATATGTATAGCTTGGTTTTGTTTTGTTTTGTTTTGTTTGAGACTGCATTTCACTCTTGTTGCCCAGGCTGGAGTGCAATGGTATGATCTTGGCTCACCACAACCTCCGCCTCCCAGGTTCAAGTTATTCTCCTACTTCAGCCTCCTGAGTAGCTGGGATTACAGGCATATACCACCACGCCCAGCTAATTTTGTATTTTTAGCAGAGACGGGGTTTCTCCATGTTGGTCAGGCTGATCTGGAACTCCTCACCTCAGGAGATCCGCCCATCTTGGCCTCCCAAAGTATTGGGATTACAGGCGTGAGCCACCGCACCCGGCCATTGTATAGCTTTTTTAAAGAAATGTCTATTGAAGGTGCCCATTTTAAAATTAGGTTGTCAGGCTGGGCACCTCGGGAGGTGGAGGCAGGAGAATCACTTGAACCCAGGAGGGGGAGGTTGCAGTGAGCCAAGATGGCACCACTGCATTCCAGCATGGCGACAGAGCAAGACTCCGTCTCAAAAAAAAAAAAAAAGCCAGATATGGTGGCACATGCCTGTATTCCCAGCTACTTGGGAGGCCGTGGTGGGAGGACTGCTTGATCCTGGGAGGCAGAGCCAAGATTGCTCCACTGCACTCCAGCCTGGGTGACAGAGTAAGACCTTGCCTCAAAAAATAAGTAAATAGAAGACTGGTATTCCTATTTATGTAGATAAGTTCATTTTTTGTCATAGTACTGTATTTACCAAATTAAGACAAAAATGCCCTTTTTTATAGAGTAACACAGCATCTGGTGGAATGACACGGCGAAATACTTACGTTTGCAGTGAGAGAACTACAGCTGATAGACACTCAGTGATTCAGAATGGCAAAGAAAACAGGTAGGAAATTCCACCTGTTTGTAAGAAAAGTTGTTTTTCCCAAGAGAAATGGAAGCATGTTGTTTACTGCTTTGTTTCTATAATCATTTCAAATTAAACTGTAAGTATTCTCTGAAGGTAAGTTAAATTTGTATACTAATTTTTAGCAAGATACTAAATTCTTTTTGTTGTCCAGAGCATCATCCTCCTGCCTGGCTGTGTATGATGATTAAAAGGATTGAGTTAAACCCAGGAGGTTTCCTAGAGGAAGTACATAGTAAACTGTGGTTATGTTGTAGAACAGTGAATAAGGAAATGGAGATTGTCTTGTGCACATAGTAATTTGAACAAAAGCTGAAAGTGGGGGAAGATGAAGACCTGAGGCAGAGAGCCACACCTTGGGAGAATGTACAGCACCAGGTAGCATTAAAGGTCCGCAGTTTACCAAAGAGTCCAGATGGCTGAGTGTAAATAGAAACACTGGAAGCCAAGAGAAGTGGAGAGTCCAGGCTACTGAATGCTTTTATTTTGGCTGCATAGCAAGCATATATAGGATGAGTGTGATTTTAAAAAGACAGTGATGTTACATGTCAATAAGGAGAGCATCCTATCATGCACACCATTTTCTTGGGGTTTTGAAATAAGTAGAGTCAGTAAAATGGGATTAGATAGGTCTAGAGACTCTTAGGTGGGGGATTAGTCTTCTGGGTGGAGAGAAAAAAAAGAGAAGTTAGATTGGTAGAGAATAGTTAAATATGCTATACTCTGTTCAGAACAAATTTCCCAGGCTGGCATGGATTTTCCTTCTTTGTTTTTGGAAGAGCAATAAGTGTACATCATTCTTTTAACCTGAACATTGTTTGTATCAGAATTGTTCTGACATTTACTTTCTGCTGTTACAGTGTAAGGTTCTGTTCCTAACCTATGTTTGATCTCGTTAGTCAAACGAAATGTTTGATCTCATTAGTCAAACGAAATGTTTGATCACTACATTTTATGATAGCCTAATCAAAAATCAAAAATTCTTTCCTCCTTCATCCTTAGTACCAAATTGCTTATTGCTTCCCTGTTCCATAGGCCACTTAGGATTGAGTTGATATGAGGAGTAACATTTGTTCTGTAAGATTATGGTTATTATTCGTTGAATTTTTAGCAATATTTACATTCTCTTGTTCTCTTTTCTGACTCGTGTGTGTGTGTGTTTTAACATTGTCTTTTTTCTTATGATTAAAAACTGTTAAGAACTTGAGTATAGCAGCTGGGGTAGTTTACAGATAATGATTGGTATAGGTATTTCTTTTGTTGTTGTTGTTGTCAAGACAGAGTCTCGCTCTGTCGCCCAGGCTGGAGTGCAGTGGCGCCATCTTGGCTCACTGCAAGCTCCGCCTCCCGGGTTCATGCCACTCTCCTGCCTCAACCTCCTGAGTAGCTGGGACTATAGGGTCCTGCCACCACACCCGGCTAATTTTTTGTAGTTTTAGTAGAGATGGAGTTTCACCATGTTAGCCAGGATAGTCTCAATCTCCTGACCTCATATTCTTCCCGCCTGAGCCTCCCAAAGTGCTGGGATTACAGGCGTGAGCCACTGCATCCGGCCAGGTATTTCTTAATAGTAGTCTACTCTCTGGTAGATTTGTATTATAGTTCAGTTCTTAACTCTCAAATTTCTTCTAGTTCAAAAGTGACTTAATAGAAAATATCAATGGAAGACTTAATTAGAAGTTTCTGATGTTATAGATTTTATTCTACAGGACTACAGAAATGTTGTTTTGTGGTCAGGCGCAGTGACTCACACCTGTAATCGCAGCACTTAGGGAGGCCAAGGTGGGTGGATCACTTGAGGTCAGGAGTTCAAGACCAGCCTGGCCAACATAGTTGAAACCCCGTCTCTACTAAAAATATAAAAATTAATCATATGTGGTGGTAGGCGCCTATAGTCCTAGCTACTAGGGAGACTGAGGCAGGAGAATTACTTGAACCCGGGAGGCAGAGTTTGCAGTGAGCTGAGATCATGCCACTGCAATCCAGCCTGGGTGACAGAGCAAGACTTGTGTCAAAAAAAAAAAAAAAAAAGGTGGTTTCATTACCTTTACTATTTCTAAATTCTGAAAGTGCACTACCCAGCTCCTTCTGAACTTTAGGATATGTGACTCTGAGGTGCAGAGTCAGTCTCCCCAAGGGTGTTAAGTAAGACTAAGATCTGCTCTCTGCTCCCATCCTGTGCTACATGTAGCATCATACACCAGGCACATGCATATATGCCTGTGTCTTCTGATTCTCTTTTCCTAAAATCTTTTTTTTCACTCTTTGGAAATAGTATTTAAGACTTCTTTAATTTCTTTGGCATCATTTCCTTTCTGCATTCCCCCTGGAGACAAGTGCCTTGTTGGGGCCGACTCTTTCATATCCTGACCTGTCTCATTGCTTCTCTTAGCATCAGTCATTGAAATACTTTGCTTTTGAAGGTGTCGTCTTTCTCTTTAGCCAAAGAGAGTCTCAGCGCCAAACCTTAAAAGACAGGGCCGGCCGGGCGCGGTGGCTCAAGCCTGTAATCCCAGCACTTTGGGAGGCCGAGACGGGCGGATCACGAGGTCAGGAGATCGAGACCATCCTGGCCTACACGGTGAAACCCTGTCTCTACTAAAAAATACAAAAAACTAGCCGGGCGAGGTGGCGGGCGCCTGTAGTCCCAGCTACTCGGGAGGCTGAGGCAGGAGAATGGCGTGAACCCGGGAGGCGGAGCTTGCAGTGAGCTGAGATCCGGCCACTGCACTCCAGCCTGGGCGACAGAGTGAGACTCCGTCTCAAAAAAAAAAAAAAAAAAAAAAAAGACAGGGCCCGTTGTTTTAATAATATTTGTATTTTCCTTTCCTATCTTATAAATGAATTAAAAGACTGGAAAATTATTAGGTTTGACACCTTTAGTTAAGGCACTAAATGTGACAACGTTCCCTTAAAATTGATGCTTGAGTCTTCAGTGAGATACAATTAGCTTTCCCTGCACAGATGACTTCTTTGGCAAATTGTTCCTTTTCCCTCTCTTCACCCACCCATGTATCTTATTTCTTCACTAATTTAAAATATGGGTGAGCTGCAGGATGCCTGGACCTATGTTAACTTCTGAAACAAATACGTTAAGTTCCAATTTTAGCCTTAAATATTTTCGACTGTTTTCTTCTTTATATGAGTGTTCATACAGAATTTCAACATGAGAATAATGATGGCTGATTTTTTTAAAACTGTGTAAAGGTTTAAACCAAAGACTCCACATAACTTAAGCCCTTACTACCTTCAAAATCCTACTGTAAACAGGATATTTTAAAGGCTTACTAAATGCAAGGCTTTTTCTCTTGTCATAGGCAATATAATTATTTTTATTTTTTATTTATTTATTTTTTTTGAGATGGTGTCTCGCTCTGTCGCCCAGGCTGGAGTGCAGTGGCGTGATCTCGGCTCACTGCAAGCTCCGCCTCCCGGGTTCACGCCATTCTCCTGCCTCAGCCTCCCAAGTAGCTGGGACTACAGGCGCCCGCCACCTCGCCCGGCTAGTTTTTTGTATTTTTAGTAGAGACAGGGTTTCACTGTGTTAGCGGGGATGGTCTCGATCTCCTGACCTCGTGATCCACCCACCTCGGCCTCCCAAAGTGCTGGGATTACAGGCGTGAACCACCACGCCCGGCCATAATTAATTTTAATAGCTTTTTTCTTTTGAAAATTAGTTTTATTAATTGGTTCTTACTAGGTCAGTCTTTGTTTTATCAGCTTTCCTGTGGGAACAAGAAAGTTAATGATGTGGGGAGCATAGGTTAAGGCCAGTTGTTACTTTGGCACAAACACCTGTGAGTAGTTTTCTAAGACTGGTTTTGAACTGGTCGTGCTGAAGGCCAGCCTACTTCCTGCTGTAATTATTCTGCCTTCTGATGTTATTCTCGAAAAGTGGCCAGATTCTAGGCATGACTAATGGTTGGTGTAAACTAGGCATGAGAAGATTTTATTACACCTCAATTGTATGATTCTATCATGATGGTATAGGTTTGCAGTGAGTCTTAAACCACATAGCACTGACTCATAGCGAGTGCTAAACCTAATCTCTCAAGTTAATAACGTTGCTAAACAACCTACATAGCAGAGATACTCTGCTCCTACCATTTCATATGCTTTAGATACCTGGACAACACTGTTTAGACTGCCTCATTGAAAGACCCTGAAGAAGTGACATGATGATGTTACAGTAATACAAACAGAATCAATCTTTCTTTTTTTTTATTTTTTTATTTTTTTGCGATGGAGTCTCGCTCTTTTACCCAGGCTAGAGTGCAATGGCACGATCTCAGGTCACTGCAACCTCTGTCTCCCAGGTTCATGCAGTTCTTCTGCCTCAGCCTCCCAAGTAGCTGGGATTACAGGCACACACCACCACACCTGGCTGATCTTTGTATTTTTAATAGAAATGGGGTTTCACTAGGCCAGGCTGGTCTCAAACTCCTGACTTCAAGTGATCCACCTGCCTTGGCCTCTCAAAGTGCTGTGATTACAGGCGTGAGCCACTGCTCCAGGCCCAGAATCTTTTCAATTAAGTTTTAGATATTGGATATTATTGTAAAGTTTCAAAATTGGGAAGTGGCTTTATTATTTTATCCACTTACCCTGCATCAAGCCACATAGAGATTGAGCAGAGAAGGATTGAGGACACTTAGCGTATATATCTTTGGACTACATATAGAAGTTGCTTTTCTTAGGCCGGGTGCGGTGGCTCACACCTGTAATCCCAGCAATTTGGGAGGCTGAGGCAGGTGGATCACGAGGTCAGGAGATCAAGACCATCCTGGCCAACATGGTAAAACCCTGTCTAAAAATTAGCTGGGCGTGATGGCATGCGCCTGTGGTCCCAGCTGCTTGGGAAGCTGAGGCAGGAGAATCACTTGAACCCGGGAGGCAGAGGTTGCAGTGAGCCGAGATAGCGCCACTGCACTCCAGCCTGGCAATAGAGCGAGACTCCGTCTCAAAAACTAAAAAAAGAG